AATCGAGTTAACAAGCTCGATTCCTGATTTTTTCTTTTAATCCGAAGATTTCGATTTCGATTTGTGAAGGCTTCGCTTTCTCTTGTCAGTGTGAAGGTGCTCAGAAAATATCAGAAAATCTCTCCGTCACTCTCTCTCAATATTCCGGTGTACCAGATTCTGGAGCACCCATTGATTCTCGTTTTCCGGTAAGTAGGTTTCGTTTTTCAGAAAGTTGTTTGATTTGGTATTCATGAGTAGCATTTATGCTATGAAGTAAGCAAATTCTGGGTACTCTTGATTCTATGGTATCTACTGATTTTGGCTTTTGGTAGTTAAGCTTTGTCGGAAGCTGTAACGCCCGTGAACCAAAATTTTGATTTTTGGGCAGTGCGTCGATCGACGCAAGATTGAATTGAACCGGTTGATCCGATTTTGATTTATCGGTTCGATTTTAAATCGTTTGGTTAACGATTTTGGGTTGGGGAAACCTTAGGCCTCGCTATATAAACGAGCAGCCTCCTTCTTTAGGCGAAAATCATAGTGGAGAGAGAGGATTTTCGTAGGTCGTGAGAGAGAAGAGGATATTGTTGATTGAGGCTTTGGAGGCAGTTCTGTCCGGTTTTAGAAGAGGAAAGTAACGGCCAGTAAGCACAGACCAGATCGGAGCGAAAATTTCAGGTTAAGTTCTCCACTCTCTGATCTTGATATAGGAGAAAACGGTTTGTCAATCGGATGTTTATTCTAGGAGTTATCATTTTTTTACTGAGCGAGGTTTCTGCAGTTTCGGGTCTGCAGTCAGTCCACTTCGAGGAAAGTTTCCCGTCGAACCAGAAGGACTCAGAAGACGATCCGCATACTGTTGGATATCTCTCTATGTCTAGTTTCCAGATCAAGTTTCTGATTCCGATTCTAAGGTAATCTCCGTTCTTTGTGTGCTTTCGAAGTCAGCATGTTGTTTCTGTTTGCTGAAATCCTAATTCGGTTTAGGTGGTTTTTGGAGAAAGGATCGAGGTTTTNTTTGTTCGTGAGGAAGGGAAGGTAGAGCAGAGGCTGTAGGTGAGA